GGATTAGACCTGTTCTGAATGACTCTAGGGGACAGAAATAGGAAGTTCCAGGAAGTCCTGCTAATCTTTAGAACCGAGCGCCAGTTGCCAGGCGGGGCGCCGACCTCACGGCACCCAGGCAGCTCTCCCACCCCAGGGCAGGCTGGGGGTGCAGTGGGCACTGGTAGGAGGTGGGGCCAGCTGGCAGGTCCTCAAGTTGGCTGAACTGAGCATCAGAATGGCCGAGGCCCCTGCCAGAACACGGAATCAGAATCTCTAGGGGAGAAGTCTATTTTAAAAGGTCTCCCCAATGGTTGTCTTTGAGGGGAACTCATCCAGTAGCTGACTTGGTGGATTCTTCATCCTGTTCCAATCACTACAACCCCTGCCTCATTCAGGTCTGGGGAAGGTGGCCCTGCTGAGTTGCTGCCCCCTCCCAAAGGGGATCAGCAGTTATTCCCACTGTTAACAGCACCTCTAACCCCCACTTTCACTCACCCCTGATCTCATCCTTCCATCTGGTTCCTTCTCTCTATTCTCATGTCAGCCAAATGATTGCAAGGCCCTGGGAAGAGAAAGGTCCAGGTGCCCAGGGCCCCTCCCTCAGGAAGGGCAGCTCTTTCCCATCACACCCTATCTGCCCAGAGATCCCCCCCAAGCTGGGCACTGCTGCTGCCCCCTACCCCTGGACCAGAACTCAGACACCACAGAAACCAGAGAAGAAATACCTGAATGGACATAATGGACACAAAGATCCTTGCTCCTGTCTTCTTGTGGTCAGTTCCACCTTTGTTATACTGCAGGCCCCTATTAGCACGCCCCTATTAGCACGCAAACCCAGCAAGGGAAAACTATTAGCTAGGGATTAAAAAGCACCACGCCCACAGGAAAGAGAGGCCCAAGGCCCATCGCCAGCGGAGGGAGCCTTCTGCCCCGTCTCCACAGTGCCACCTGGTGTCTCCTGGTTCTGATCAAGCGTTGCGGGGGCGGCTAGCACGTAAGCTCCCACACCCCCACCCTCCCCCTCCTCCTCTAGGCAGCTCCGCCTCTGGGGAGCCTCCCCTCTTCTCTGAGACCTTCCGCCCCACCCTTCACCACCGGACAGTGTTCCTCAGCCTGCCTGCGACGTCTGCCTTACTCTCCTCTCTGCCTTGACTCCGGTTTCATTCCCAGGAGCTTCTTGGGCCTTCTCCCCAACATACAGCTGATCTGGAAACCGGTGGTCCCCGAACTTGACAGTTCTTGTAGGAGGGGCTCTACCGGTGGCCCTGGGGGAGGTGGGGGGCGGGAGCCGTGTGTGTGTGTGGTGACGGGGTACCAGAAGTCCGCCCGACAGCCAGCAGAGGGCAGTCTGTCTCCAATTTGGAGCCCCAAAGGCGTCCATCAGCAAGCTGATGATCAGTCCGTCCGTCCCTCCGTCCGTCCATCCATCCTCCCGATGGACAGAGCCGTCCAGGAGTCGTGATGGCCACATCCCGGGCTGACCTAGAGGCGGTTATCAGGATGAGGTGCTCTGTCCCCCTCCCAGGGAATTCAGCCTGGGGGGGTGTCTCCTCTCTCAGCTTGTCCCCTCCCTCCTTGAACTTCCCTCTTGATTTGGACCATCAGTTCCAGGACCAGAGTCAAGGACGGGGCTCTTTTCAAGGGTGAATCTGGTTACCTGCCCATTATACACACAGGGCTGTTGTTAAAGCATCTGCGTGTTGATTTGTAAATTCAACGTGTTGGGGAAGAAACCCAGCCCCAAAATATCAAATAGGCACCCCGAGGTGAAAGTCACTGAGACCCCTCAGATGAGCTCATTAATAAACTGTTTGGGCTTGATTGTGGGACCTGCCATAGCCTAAAATATTGGTGTCCTGCTGAAAATTCATGGTGAGACACTGACTTCACAGTGAGGCTATTAAGAGGTAGGGTCTTTTGGGGCTTCTCAGGTCACAGGGTGGTACCCTCATGGTGTTTGTGCCCCACAAAGAGACTGCAGGGAGTTCCTCATCCCTTCAGCCCTGGGAGGACAGCACACAGCCACGACTTAGGAAGCTGACCCTCAGTGGACACTAAGGGGCCAGCACTTGATCACCCACTTTTCAGCTCCAGAGCTGTGAGAAATCAATTTCTGTTGTTTATAAGCTACCCAATTTATGGTATTTTTTAATAACAACCAGAACTAAGATAGAAAGTGGTACCAAGATGTGGGGGGCAGGGAGGCTGGCGGCTTTGAAATGTTTTCGAGAAAACCCCGTGTTTCTGGGAACCGAGCTTTAAAGGAGATTCTAGGGAGAGCTCAGAAGGAAAAGAGGAGAGCTGGAGAGAAAGCTGCCTGGTCTCAGGGAAGACCTGAGGAATTCTGAGCAGAACGTGGGTAGAAATACGGTGGCTGGACCCTCCGGGGTGGTGCAGCAGGTTAAAGCAGCACTGAGTTCAGAAGCTGATGACATGGTGCTGCAGACCTGTTCTGTCTCAGCCACTGCAGTGTATTTCAGTCCATCTGCCTCTTCTATTGCCCATTCTGTCTCTGATGAATCCTTTCACCCCTCCCCAACCCCACCCCAAGCCCTTGCACCTCTGGCCTGTACCCCAAGCTCCTGTATGCATAAATAAATAAACCTTAAAAAAAAAAAAAAGAAAGAAAGAAATATGGTGAGGAAAGGCCTTTCTGGTGGCAGAGATGGGGAATGTTTATTGGAAACTGGAGACAGGGTGATCCCTGCAATGAAGTCGCCAAGGACTTGGCTCTGTGTGCTAACGTTCTGGAGCTCGGGGATGATGAAGTTGGGTGTTTAGCTCAGCAAACCTCTGAGTATTGCAGAGTGCTGCTGGTTTTGCTCCTCTCCAGTGTCTGGTGCAACATGCAAGAGTGATAGGACTTACAGGTGGAATCGTTCAAGCAAAAAAGAAACATCAACTTAAAGATTTGGGGAACTCTTAGCCCATCTAGATCTCAGAAAGTGGGAACACTAAGTGTGGCCAGGTCACTGTATGATAAGTCTCGTCAGGAGTCAGCCATCTCATCAGAAATCTTGTCCACAACAATGGAAGAATGACCTGGAATGGGACTCAAGGACCCTCAGCCTCACAGGCCCAGAGCATGGGCTCAGGGGGTCACCGCTACCTCCACTTAAGTCAAAAGACGGGGTCAACTGGGGCCACCACAGGGGCGGGCCTGGGCCGCACCTGCTGGGCTGTGGGGTGACATGCCACCCGGTGGGTTCAGAGGGTAGAGGATTATTCCCAAGCTGCCAGGTCTAGTGGAGTTTGCCCCAGTAGGTTTGAGATATTCTGAGGTTGTCACTCCTTTCCGTTTTCTTATTTCTCCTTTTTCTTTTCGTTTTCTTTTTGGACACAAAAGTTTATCCTACACTTTGTCCACCTTGAACTTGGGAGCACATGACAGGTTCTGAGCTGGATGAGCCACACCTGAGTTCCATCCAGATCTGAGATAGAGGACATTTCAGGGACCTTGGACTTAAACTTTAAAGTTAATGTTGAAACATGTGAAGACTTTTGGGGTTCTTTGAATGGAATAAATGCATTTTGCATGTAAGATGGATACCAATTTGGGGAGCTGGGAATGCTATAGATTGAATGTTTGTGTACCCCCAAAATTTCTCAGCTGAAATCCTACCCTGTGTTACCCGCAAATGAAGAAGGTAACTTGAGTCCAAAGAACCAAGCATTAATCACACTTAGCTTATTAAGGGCGACTGACAGACACATGGGCCCTCGGTGCCAAGGCTGATAGACAGGACTCCAGGCTGGCCAACATCCATGCCTGACAGGGGCTTTCCTGACAGGGGTTTGGCACTTACAGTCATTCTTGTGTAAAATTAATGCTGCCAAATGGTTGGGGGTGGGGGGTGGAGTGTTTGTCTTTATTCAAAGGTGGGTAGATTTCTGTGGTTCATGAACGCAGGTTAATATATATGAAAGAAACTATGGGGAAACTGGTTATCTGCCCAAGGTAGGGCAGTTTGGGTCATGGCTCTAAGATGGCATTAATACAAAATGGAGTCACTTTGGTTTACCTGCACCCCACCAGACCCCCAAGCCCCAAGGTGATGGTACTAGGAACTGGGGACTTTGGGAGGTTAGGCCATTATAAGGTGTTGCCGAAAGCGGTCTTAGAGAAGTGTATTGGGGTCAGTCACTGCACAGGACTCCAAGAGAGGGTGGGCTGCAGCTTAAAACAGCCAAGGCGGAAGGCAGGGACTGCAGGCCCAGGTGACCCCCAATCTGCACAACCAGGAATGTGGGCAGAGTTCTATTGTCCTGACAGCTCCTTCCTCCTGGATACCTTCAGTATCCTGGATACCTTCTGACCACCCTATGATGCTAGGGCTGGCCTAACAGTCATGAGGTTGGCACCCTCGAGAATGGGACCAGCACCCTTGTGAGAGACCCCAGGGAGCTCTCTTGTCCCCTAGGGACAAGAGGATACAGTAAGACATCATCTATGAAAGAGGAAGCTGGTGCTTTCCAGATCTGCCAGTGCCTTGACCTTGGGCTTCCTGGTCACCCAAACTGGGAGTAACTGTCTGGGGTTCATATGCCACCCATTTATGGAGGCTGGTTGTAGCTGCCCCAACAGGTCAAGACAGGACCCTAAAGAGTACAGCAGGCTGAGCTAGAATCCTCCACGCCATCCCCTCTTCAACCCCCGACAGAAGTATGTTTTCTGGCTATGACATGGAAGGTTTTCTGGCAGTTTCCTTCTCACTCTGGGGATTTCCAAGTTGGAAGTTCTGAGCATGGTTTGACCTACTTGAGACCCTCAAATTCCAGAGTCCACACAGTGCCCACAGCCAGAGGCAGGGCTGAGGCCAGTGGGGCTCAATTGGTGGGGTTGCTCCAGGCAGGTGGCTAAGTCAGAACTGACCCAGGAGAGCAAGCAGCCCTCAGAGAAGCAGGAACCGACCCCTTTCATTTCCACCAGGCCTCCTACTAGTTTGACTGTTCCTGTCAGGCAACTTCCCACCCCCAGGGGAGTGGCAGGGCTCAGGACGCAGGATGGGCCACCAGAGTTCTGTTGTAACAGCTTTATTGGCCAGATGAGGCGTGAGCTTGAATACAGCCCTCATGGCCCCTTCCCGCAGGCCCCAGTGTCTTCCTCTGGCCCCATTCCCCTTCTCCTGCTGCTTCAGCCCTGGGGGCCTGGAAAGAAGCGGGGTGGCAAGAGCAGGGTCCCTAGAGAAGGGTGGGGTGGAAGGGGCAGGAAGGTCTTGAGGACCAAGTGCAGGGAGGAGGGTGTGGGGGGAGCCTGTGGCTGTGTGTGGCTCCCCCACAGGGAGGCCTAGAGAGCTGGCCTGGCTGTGCTGGCACTGTCCCTGGCCGAGTCTGGGGGCCCAGTGTGAGGGGTGGAGCCATCTGCCCTCAGGTTGGGGCCACTGGTAACTGAGTGGGTGTGTGGTGTTTCAATAAGGGCCCAATCAAGCAGGTAGCTAGATGCCTGTAAAGGTGAAATGACCTCCTGACTTTGGGGTCCTCACACCAGCTTCCCCACCAACCCTGAGGGGAAGGACATCAGTAAAAGCAAGGGGCCTATAGAAGCTGGTGCTTCCTGTGCCCTTGGCCTTGCCTGCCTCTCTGCCCCACCCCGCTTGATGGCTCTCCAGCCTGAGGGGTAAGACACAGCCCACCCGCTTCCCCCCTGAGGAGTCTCGGGGTTGATGATAAACCACAGCCTTCCATGCCTCCCTCCCTGGCATCCTGCTGTTCGTGGGGCTCTGGGATGTGGGCGCCGGTGTCTTGGCCAGATGATGGGCTCTTAGTCTTAGAGGCTATGAAAAGAGGGGTGTTGGCTGGGGTGTGGGGAGAGGGTCCTCAGCCCACTCAGACTAAAACACTGAGGTCCCCTACTGGAGACATCGCCACAGCCCAGGCAGGCCAAGTCTTTTAGAGGGGTGGTCTGCAGGCAGACCCCAAACCAGACGGAGCCAGACAGCCAAGTTCAAGTCATTAGTGAAGTGTGGTGAGGCTGGGAGAAGAAGGAGGCGGAGTCCGGAGGTGGCTGAGGCTGCTGGGAGGGAGCGGCGATGAGAAGCACAGGAGTGGGCAGGGTGCGGAGGCCTCACGGGCCTCACTCCGAGTGGACCAGAGCTCCGGCTCCTTGCCCGAAGCCAAAGCCCTTAGGCCCGAAGTTTTTAGCATAGCATCCTGCGGAGAGAGAAGAGAGAGAAGGGGGTGAGGACTGCTTCCTCCTGCCTCTCCCCGCCCAACCCCACGAGCCTGACCACACCACTGGAGCATAAAGTTCTTAGCACTCCCTAACCTCTATAGCACCCAACTCCAACAGTGAGGAGGCTCTGGGCCCCTGGTGAATCCACTTCCCTGCCTCCAAAATAACAGGAGAAGCACTACCTGCTAAGGAGCGCAAAGGGGGCCTAGGAACCCAGCCCTGCCCCTAACCCCTATTTGCCAGACTGACCAACTTGCCCTCTGGCCTGGTCTCCTCTTCTGCAAAATGAAAGGGTCACACTAGATGCTCTGGAATTGACCCCAAGGCCAGAACTGGCTTCCATTTAGCCAGCTGGTTTCTCCTGAACCCCCTCAGGCCTCCTGCTCCTCAACGCAGAAGAAAACCTCAACCACCCACCTTTGCAGTAAATCTCGCCATCCTTGTCGGCCAGGGTGGTGGACTCAAGGCCTTTGCCACACTTGGCACAGCGGAAGCAGGATTTATGCCAGGACTGGGAAGGGAAGGGAAGAGTTAATGCTGCTACCTGAGGGTCCCTGCTCCTGCTCCCCCTCCCCGACATAATAACAGTGGTGGGGGGACAATGGACTGTGCTGGGGACATGCGGCAGGGTGTGGACAGGTCCCGGGATGTGGCAGAGCAGGCCTGGAGCCACACACCGCCTGGACCACCTTCAAGTCGATGTTGCAAGAGCTGGGTGGCACCAGACCCACCACAAACGGGCTGGTAGGCGATCACCTCAGAGGTAGTTGTTCCCTCAGGCAGGGTCAAACAAGCCTTCTCCGGACCCATCCTGCCTGGGATTAGCGTGGGCCAGGGCTTCCTAAGGGTCCTGGCAGTGCTCACTGGCTACACAGCTTCTTCATTTCCTCTCCGGGAGAGAACGGATGTGAGGCCTAGATATCTGCACCGGGGCCTGCCACAGAGCAGCCTGGGGTAGTTGAGAGCTTTTAGAACCAGCCTGGCCTCTGAAGTTCTAGAACTGGGTGGCCTGTTTGCCCCAAGGCCCTCAGCTCATGGAGAGCAAGGGGCAGTGTCTCCTTCACTAGCAGGAGGATCAAGTAACTTAACTAGTGTCACACACCTGGCCTGCGGCCTGGCACGGAGGAGCCCAGAGCCAATGTCCAGCTGGCTCGAGAAGGGGCAAGGGACTCCTAAATGCCCTAAACTTGGCAGTAAAGGCCACGGGATGTAGTTTCTCCAGGGGCCACAGAAGGGCCTTTGTGGTTCTCATAGGGACTCAGAGGCTACACAGGGTGAACGGCCTTTAGGGAAGAAAGGGGTCGGCCTGCAGGCGGTGAGGGGGCCTGAGCTGGCTGTGGGGCTGGTGTGTCGATGGCTCTGCCAACCCAGGGAAGCTTGAGGCTGGCAGCCTTCAGATCAGACAAAACCTAAGAGCAGAGAAGCCCTCAGGACAGCCACCTGGTGCCTGGGTTGGAGAAGAGAAACCAAAGTCCCTCAATTCCTGGGCACCAAAATGTGTATATTAGCTCCTCCTCCTAGCTCCAGGGCAGTGGGGTCCAGAGAGCTGAAATGGGGCCCAGATCTGAGTGTCCTCTGGTATCCTTTGGCAGTCAGCAGATTTCACATCCTCCTTCATGAAGCAGGAGCCACCCCACAGTCTCCAAGCTTCAGAAGGACCAAGTCACCCACCTCCCTGCTTATGGCTTCACCTGGCCACACAACGCCCTTGTCCATACAATACCTGAAAGCACCCCCATTCTTCAAGCTTTTCTCCACCTTCTCTCCTGAGCACAAGTTTCTCTCTTCCCTGCTCCTTGGTGATACAACCTGGACTTTAAGTTAGCTACTAGAAATAATGATCCCTAAGTTGCTTATTTAAAAAATAATTTTCTGTTCTCATAGACACTGCAACTGAATAATATATTTTTTTAGTAATATAATATTTATTTTTACATCATTTTGTGCCTTTTTCCATCTGAGGCAACAGAATAATATTAATGCCATCTCCTGTTTTCATAGCATTTAACCAATGGCAAGGATCTTCCTTCCGCTTCACAGCTGCAGCAGCCGTGAGCACACAAGTCTCGTTTCGTCTTTATATCAACCTTGTCAAGGACCATCATTTGCTCCCCTTTAAAGATACAGAACCAAAGCTGAGGAAAGTTAAATGATATGCCCAAGGTCACACAATTCATGAGTGGCAAAACTAGATTTTAGACCAGGTTGGGCTAAGATCCAAGATCTTAATGCTACAATAAAAGAGCCTGTTCAGCCGTGCAGCTGACAACATGGTTCCATAGAGATCAAATGACCCAAAGCAGAGTTAATCACAGTAACAGCAAGGGCTGTGAGGTCAGAGGAGCCTGGCCTGACCCCAAGCATGGCCACTTTCCAGCTAGGTGATCTGGGCTGATCCTTAGAGCTCAGACTCAGTTTCTTCATCTATAAAATGGGCTCCTGGGCCATCCCTGATGTTAAAGCACAGCACTGAGAAGCTAAAGCCACGTCTGCATGTGTTCGATCCCTGCCCCTAGAGGTGACCACATGGCACGGCAGACATCTCCTGACCCGCCCACTGCTCCCCTCAGCAGTGTGCTTCGTCGATCTGCCTGTTCTGCTCCC